ACAATAAACAACTATTCATCACTAATAATATAACAATAGCCATTCATTACAATAATAGAATGCAAACAATTTATTACTAATAATAAGCAATTACAATGATAAAATCTCATCAGTCACAATAACATTTCATTAAACACTGCGCTCAGCAATTTCAGAATTTGTAAATTTTCAACTTGCAATGATGAACTACAATTCAGAAACTGATTAACATCCATCTATTTGCTTCATTGCATTCAAATTTTTGTGCTCTCTATCGACAGTACCATTCAGGAAAACATCTTAAACGTCTACCAGTCCTAAAATTGGTTTTCGTGCAACGTAAAAATAATAATGCCTAATTACTTTTGTTCAATTATACCACTTAAATTTTATAAATTAAAAAATTAATCTATAAAAAATATGCTTCATTTCGCATCAAAAATGAATAATATGTAATTAAAAGCTTTAATACTGAAATTAGTATCAAAATATCTTACCTAATTTGGCTACAAAAGATGCCTTTTAATGTCATATTTTTAATTTTTAATATTATTTTTTTAAATATACCAAAAACTTTATCAGCTTTTAATATCATTCATTTTCATGTTAAAGTCTTTATCGCTACTTTTTTCACAAAATATTTCGTACTGATACTTTTGCTAACTTATCATTTGCCTTTAATAAGTAATAGAAAACGCAAACAAACTATATAAAATGAATGAAGTGGAAAACTTGATAGAATTGTCATTTCAATTAATTTTGAACAGCTATTATTACCTCATTTTTTCTTAACATAAGGTCACTGCAAGTAACTTCACAGTGACCTTAAGTTCTGCTATTGGAAACAATTTATTTGTAAGTATAAATGAAACGTGCATTAAGCTTTCAAATTTGTTCTTGATTTTCTATGCGAAGCTCAAGCTTGAAAAAAATTATTTAAAAATCAAACTTTTAATCATTTTTGTTTCTTTTTCTATCAAAAAAATGAACAGTAAAGCCTAAAAAATATTATTAATATTTGCAATGGCAATAAATTAAGTAAGTTTTCTGTTGTTAAACTTAATTGGATTTTCATAGCAAGCAGAACTATGAATAAAGAGACTTACATTACAATTGCTTATTTGTGTATGAGTAAAGTGACGCGGAGATATTTTGGCTAGTTGTGACATTTTTGGTCAAATGCTTTTAATAAGCAAATTGTTGAGTAGCAGAGATGAATTTCACGGCAAAAAAAGTTAGTAACGGAAACAGAAGGCAAGAAAATGGGAAATTGGTAGTAGTTCATTCAATTAACACTTGAAAAGACTGGTTTGTCAATTTGATAGCAACACTGAGACAAGGCCGTAGAAGATGAACGAAGAATTCTAAGACAAGTCCATCATTGGCTAAGCTTGTTAAAGTTGCAATAAGCTTGTTCTAGCTTAGTTTAGCCTAGCAAAAGTCTGACTTGGATTGGTTTAGCATTACTTGGCTTGATTCGGCTTAAGTTTGCACAGGAGTCTAAAATTTCTGAAAAAGATACAAGTAAAAGATTTGTTAAATTGAACAATTTACAAGAGATAAAGAGGAAGCAGAACAATAGCATGCTAATCGGACCATTTTATTCGGCTTGTTTACTCTTGCGAATTTGCATTTATACTAGATAATAGATGCTGAATACATTGGTAGAAAAGCCAAGATGGATAGGATTCTTTGGGATAAGTTATCCGAGAATTGGGTTAGTATCGAATAGCTTTCTTGCAATTGTCCTCAAAGGCGGAAAGAATTGAGACCCAATAAGAGCCAATCAGCCAAAATTCTACTCGACAGCTATGAAAGCTCCCAGCCAGCACCACAGTTTACTTTTTGTCTTTATCGGTTTACTTCCAATTTCATGCTTGTTCTGAGGGATTCAAGAAAATATCCGCGGTCGTTTCATACTTTTACGTTGAAAAATTCAAGTATTATTAGCTTTATAATGCAGGGAATTATTTTCTTGTAGATACGAATACACAGATATAGTTTCAAGATAAAAAGTTCAAATATGGCATTAGTAATTAGTAATTTGCTCATCCCATCAATGCTTTTAACAAGTTTTAACTTATATGCCAACTTTGGTGCTTATTATTCAAATAATCACTGTTATCTGCATTGCATCTGATGAACACTTTCAATCTCCGATCGTTGTAATGAATGCAAGCATTCTGTTTCAGTATTTGAATCCTTTGCAATGATTTTTTTGTCTGATAGCTTTTGAACTTATGAAGAGATACCGTAAAAAAATAGGCTACCATTTCATTAATTAGTTCAATACTTGAGTGTGAGATTCAATTTGAAGTTATTTGAACAGTACTGTGCGAAATCTCTAAACAATGAACAACAGTTTTATTCTTTTTATAAGTTTGCCTTCAAATGAAAAAGAAACGAAGGAAAAAGTTTATAGTTTGTAATTCTCAATACAATAAGTCATTTCACTCAATAATATTTTTGTAGCAAAATTTTTTCACATCTAATTTTTGAGTTCCAAAATTTCAATCAAATGATAACAATTCATACTTTGTGTAAAATTACTAGCAATATTAAAGGAAGTAATAAAATTTGTAACTATTTTTGAAGTAATTTTTTGAAGTAAAAATCATTCATTGTATACTGCTGAAAACTAGCATTTGCTTAAAATAATAATAAACATAAATTGCTGACAAAATTATTTTTATAAATAATACATAGTGCCAAAGTAATTATTAATCAAAATATTGAGCAAAAAAATGAAAGGAATTGCTTGAAATGAAAACGACGTAGAGATAGATGATGATCATCTGGCGCAATGAAAATGTAATTAAGCTCAAGTTAGTTTCTTCAATGCTAAATACCCAACCAACTGTTTATTCTAACAAGTGGAAATCTTAAAGCTTCTGGGATCTTCCAAACACTCCAAACTACTTGCAAAGTCCTTTTGGCTTCTTCACTTTAAGACTTATTCTTTTGGCGCATTTATGGCTTTCATTATTTATCCACTGGGAAATAATACTTTTAGCATAGTTACTACTTAAGTACCACTTCTTTCTAGCAATACTTATAAGATTGCTACTTGCCAAGAAAGGTACAAGTGGTGGTAGCAGCCTTTCAACTAGCTTATTTTATTGAAATTTTCAAACTACCCCTTTGAAATGAGCTAATTTCATAAATGTTTTCCATTTTATCTTTTTGTTACTACCATCTCCCGGAAAATTCAAAATTTCTTGAAAACTTACCGCTTAATAGTTGCGTCATTAATGATGCAAACAAAAAAATCGCTGTTGTGCATTTTTAGGAGAATAATTTTGAATTAATAAAGTCGCTAACAAACTTTGACAGTTTGTTAGCGACTTTATTTAAATGTATTTAAGGATATTTTAGTAAATCTTAAAGCTAGAAAATTGTCATGCAAATGTATATTTTGATTTTTGAAAAGTTCTGATTCTTACTGTTGAGCATTACTTGGTTAGAAATTAGAACTTGTTGTTGTATGAGCTACTTGAAAAAAAAATTATTATTATTATTTGTGAAATGCTGATGATTACTGATTACACGTGCAATTAGTCTAAAGCAGATACTTGGCTAATCAAATTTGGAAACAAAGTTTTGAGCTATTTTATTAAACTTTTTAGTTTGTTACTACGAAATGATATCGAAGTCATTGCGTGATGGTAGTAGCGGAACTCTCTCGGAGTCTAATGTTCTTCAATCGAGAAGTATTGGTGAGAGTATGAAAAGTTTGCTGGAAACGGTAGCAGCTTCAAATCAATCTAATAAGAATGATAAAAATAGTACTACAAATGGTAGTACATTAATTAAAGTTGAACAAGCAAGTGCATCAAATTCGACTAATGGTACAAAGAAGACATCAGTACAACGGTTTACTGTCAACGATATCCTGTCTCCGCTAGATAGTATGGGTAAGTTAAACTTCAAACAATAATAATTAATGCTAGAAACTTACAAATTTTTTCTCATTCGGTGTCGTTATTGAAAAATTCAAATTAAAAACTAATTAAACTTGCAATTACTAAAAAACTGCGCAGTACAAAGCTGTAATGCACTATTTTGATCTCACTTTCTAATTTACAAACAATAATTATTACTAGTTGGTAACTCGAAGAATAGTGCGTTATGATATTTCTGAAACCTTAAAATACATTCTTGCATTATGCTAAAAAAAACTATTCAAATTGTTTGAAACTTTTGACATTTTTTAAAACATTCAAAGTTAATTGAAAAGCTAAGTAAATGGTAAAAAGATGCAATAAGGTCAAAAGAAA